CAAATGGGGGATACTGACCCTACACTTACATTTTGAGTTGTTTGATGTATGTGAAAGGCAATTGATGTCTCTTCTCCACTCACAATGACTGCTATGAAACTCGCAATAGAGATAATATTTGGCCTAATAGCCATGGCCTTGAAAAAACCAGAAACGGGGTATGGTATTAATTTTTTAATGTGTTGACAAAACCTGTCAAATCGTTTAGTGTCTAACAGAAAAAGCATTCTTCTGTATTGATGAGTATTTGACAAATAACTTTAGTGATATGCTTTTGTAAATGTTCGTATTATTTTTTATTTTAGTCGGTCCCGCGTTTCCAAATGTGTTCATATTTGTTTTACTCTGTCTCATTTTTCCGCTTGTGTGTATGTATAATTATTATACTATCCAGTATTTGCGGCTGTGTCAATGTCCTTATTTATTTTACTCTGTTTCGCTTTTGAATTTTGATTGTTTTCTAAATGCCCTTAAGGCAGACATGTATTTTCAACATGTACTCCTTTCACGTGTGCAAGCACATTAATTTATGTAGTAACACCAATAAGATATTATCCTTATCTGGAGATAACAATATTGATACTTTTCAATGTGCAACATGTCTGGCCTCACCTTCTCAAACTCAACTAACACAAATAATCCATATTAAATAATACTAAATTGCTACAATCCCGATAACAATATTGCAATTCAAATAAGCGCCTAAAGAGAATGCCGCGTTTAACAAACATGTAATCAGCTTAACACATTTTGAATCAAGTGCAGTAGCTAGTAGTTCTCTTTTGAAAATAACGTGTTCCATGTGCCACATTGATACGTTTTTTTTAAGCAACGTTCTGACAAACATCTATCACCTTTCATCCTATCGAAAGGATTCTACCAGGTAGTACCAGTAGAGGCACTCATTACGTGACAAGTGCATTTGTTCCTTCTTCCGTTGGGATAACTACTCACTAATGATCAGTTATAGTACCTGGGCAAATTCAAAATACTATAGGGCGTGCGTTGTGTAAACTATTTTTGATCAAAGAGTCGGTAAACATGTGAATAATTCTCCACGATCATTTCCACGGGAACAGCGATGTAAATTCTGATAAAGCATTGTTGTTAATTCACATCAACCTAAATTTTGAAAACTAGGAATTCTCGATACATCCCTCTTCCTGTATCAGTACTACAGAGAAAACTTGGAAAAAGGGTGAGATCAAGAACATCGTTAACCGAGATCCACTTTCCTAAGCTATAAATCCATCTTGAGTAGTACCTGATAGTACAGTATATCTCATCTTCTAGCATCAGTACTACTAGTCAGGGGAGGAAAGAAATGTAACCAGGTAGTTCTCACTCGGAAAATATGCGTTTGTTTAAACACTAGCAGCTATCATCTCATGTCAGTAACTTATCAGGAAATACGTTAAAGTACCTACTGGAGAACTACTTGTAGATCAGATAGGTAGTACCCAAATAAATTCGGAAAGCTGTTGGTATATGCAGGTAGCTCCTAGCATCCCAGTACCAGTAGTATCAAGGGAAACGTGAAATGATCAGGTGGTACCAGGTTAGCTTGAAATCCCCGAAGCTCGAAAACAAAAGGATCAAAACCGTTCTTAAACCGGAAACACTTTCTCAAATGAAACTAGTACAAGTGTATGTTAAATAGTACCTGATTGCTACAATCTCGTAATTCCAGCAGCACTAATTAACTAAACAGTTCGGTATCACGACTCACCTAGTAACAAAAGCACAAACAAACTAACGATGCACCATGCTGCACAAGTGTATCTCATCTTCCACCATCAGTACCACTAGCCAGGGGAGGAGAGGATTGTAAACAGGCAGTACTCATTCGAAAAACATGTGTTTAATAAAAGACGAGGAACTAGAACGGCGTTCCGCTTCATGGACTACTTTTGCTTGTGAATCGACCAAGTATTAAATCGTACTCGAGCATGGTAATTTGATCAGATGCGACTTTCAGAAATGCGCGACCTGGCGTGGAACCGGCGGTCACCTTAACGGGTTTTGATTGTGGTTGGGTATGGCTTCCACGGAGACGGCACAGATGCAGTAACCATTTCCATCTTCCTCCGAAGAACAAGATCTGTTTCATTTCTATCTTCCTTTATGCTGTATTGCAGTAGCATTGGGACAACTTTGGCAGTTTACAGCGTTAGATACACAATACAGCAAGTCTAAAAACGACATCTTACAAAAATTGTCGCGTTACAAGTTCCATAGAAGCAAGCAATAACCAGCAACAATGACAGTTTTATGTGGCACCCCACAGGGTTCTGTGCTGGGACCACTTTTATTTTCAAAATGCGTAAATGACCTAGGTAGGTAATACAAACGAAAACTTTATACTTATACGTTGTTAAGCACGTATCATGGATAATTCCACTCAAGAACGTCATATGCACTCTTGAACCGCGGTTACTCTTAGCATATGCCTACAGCCATGTAAAAAGGCATTGGAGCTATAGAGAACTAGAAAGGGTTCTACTGTGCAATACCCTTTTATGAATCTTCCTGAAGCACTTAAAACTTCTAGCCTCAGCTCCTTTAGATGTATGCTTAGATTTTTATCGCATGACGGGATATTAAATTTCCATAATACTCACACGTGAGCCTAAGAAAATCCTCATACCATTCGTGAAGGTCATTTCCAACAACGTTTTAAAATAAATATTTGGGCGGGTATTATTGACGATCAGGTAATTGGCCCTCTCGAGTTACCCCCAAAGTTGTCAGTAGAAGGATACCTGAGCTTTCTAGCCAATAGCCTATCAGAACTTTTCTAACAGACATTAGACAACATGCCATTACAACGGAGACAGAATTTGTGGTGTCTTCATGAAGGGGCACCACCACACATTTTTAGAGGCGTCATTTAGTATTTGAATGAACATTATCCAAATCGCTGGATCGGTCCAATAACAACTGAAAGACAACTTCGCGAAAAAAAATTTAATGCGGCTGAAATAATAAATGGACAACTTCGAGGACTTGGAGTAAGAAGAAACTGGGTTCGTCGTAATGAAGCTTGTGTGGAAAGTGGAGGACGACATTTCGAACACCTTCTTTAAATACAAAAAAAGTGCAGTGTGGGTTTTAAAAAGAAAAACAATGTATCAAAGTTGTGTTCCAAATTTTTAAGTGGATTTTTTTAAAACGTTCAATATACTTTCACACACCAGGTGAAGCGCTGAGACAGTTAGTGGTAAGTCCGCTTTTTTTTAATTGTTTGCATTTTACGAGTACATTATCAAATAACGAAATAATATCTAAGAGCCAAAAATAACAAACTCCATCTTTATTTACACTGCGTTCCATCGTAATTTGCGTCTCGCACTGCGGCGTTGTAATATTTTAGTTTACTTTAAAGTCGCTTTTCTCTAACAAAATGCCGTTTTGACCCCCACGTTATATGAAAGTTTCACCCATTTAAACAATGACTATCAAAACGTTTACATCCTGTATACGTTTCCTTTTATTTGGTAAATTGTTCGGATGGCTTTGTTTTATACTTTTTCATTTTTATTACTTTAGGTAGGATACATAGCCACATAATAATCATCTTACTTTCTTTTTTTTGTAATTGTTGTTCTTTCCAAGATTTTTATTGCTTGGTAACTTACTGGCATGGCATGTACACTTTTGCTTCCACTTATTTTGAGCTATGTTAGCACGCAAGTGCAGGGAGCACCAATAAATAAATAACCACAATCTAAGTGAAAATGGCTACCAACTGGCAAAGCCATTCCACGGCTATTACAAACACAAATTCTTAGAGAAATTTTAAAAACTGGCCATTTGAGCGTTTGACTTGCGTATCGTCCGGGATGTTGATACTGTTAAAGCTACTGAGATTATTTCGTACTGCTGAGAAAGAGTTGCTGCTGTATAAAGCTCAGTTATAGCTAAGTTTGGAGAGCTGACTCTACAAATCGCGATCGGTAAAAATTGCTTAACACGCAAGTTAAAAAATCGTAACTTATCAATGACAATTTCGCTACTTTAGGTGAATTTTTGCCTCTCTGATCTCCCCTTCTCCTGGGTCGTATTTCATCTATTTACTTGAAGAGCAGAGAGTAGCTTGTCGCACAGTTATGCTTCATCTTTCCAAAAAAAAAACTCTAGGTAATAGGGCTTCCTTTCACATTTTCTACTCCTTCTACCTTTCATTTATTTTCTCCCTGTAGGCCGAGCATGTAGTTAAAAAACGTGGCTTAGGCTTTACAAGTCAGATGCAATCCTATTATTTAGAAAATAGAACGTATTGTGATTTCGAAGGAATTTCTGATTGTCCCGAAAATAAAATGTATTTCGTGCCATGGACAAGAGAACGTTGGATTTGGTGAACATATTTCACAGTAACACCGATTTGCTGAAGGTCACGTCAATGATCCTTTTCAATGCATTGCCCAATGTCTCTTTTCATTTTGAATATGATTAAGCTGTATAATTATAGACATTCCGCGTTATAATGTTGCATCATGCATATCTCTCGGAAAATTGTAGCTATACAGAAACAACTGATTTAAGGATTATATCCAATAATTTTTGCTTCAGAATCTTCAAGAAAAATGTCTTCTGTCAACCATCCACGATTAATTCGATACCTGTTTCAGTCATGTTTGGTAAATATCTTACTCTTAATCTTCCGTAATTGTTCCAATATACTATACTGTTATGACTGACTTTCCACCTTAAGTACAAATGAATCGGTGAGTCCAAGAACAGTACAAGTCCAAAAAATGGCGTATTGAGTTAAGATAGCCAAATTGTTTAAAATTCGAAGACTCGTGTGTTGTGCTTAAAAACATTACAATGTTCAGGAATAATTCGGCTATACGCGCCACCTCTCTACGGCGTTGAGATGGAAAACATTACAAGTCCAGGACATGTACTGTTTTCGACCTCACTGATGTGGGTGTCACACATCGCGCGCGAGGTGGTGATAATAAATTATAAGACTTAGGTTATCTCACTGCCGAGACAAACTTAATAGTTGGAAGCAGTTATTTTTGAGAACAACAATGATTAGTTCTAACGAGAGTGATGATAGTGCCGAAGGTTTGCATGGGAGTAGAAAGCGAAAAAGGAATCCGAAAGTTTGGAAAGACAATAAAAGAAAAACTGCTGCTCTTAAAGGTGAAGCCTATGTTTCTACATCCGGAAAAAGGGTTGCACCAAAATCATCTGGGTCTCCATGTGGGTAAGTGTTATTATCGATACTAAAAAGTACAGAGTAGTAACTTGCGTATTTTAAAGGTGCAAGGAGAAGTGCACAGAGAAGTTTCCCGATGAAGAAAAAACCATCTTAATTTCCAAACTATACGACGGTAGGCCCAAAAATGAACGTGACACATTTCTTCAAGGCCTAATTGAGGTGACAACCATTTCAAGACGTAGAGGTCTGCACATTCCTCAAAAACTACATAGAGACTCACATTCCTGGAAACGTGACAGAGCTGCATATATTTTCTGACGGCTGTCCTGGTCAAAATCGGAATAACACAATAGTGAGATTTTTCCTAGCTCTACAAGCAACCAAACGGTTCAAAAAAATTTATCATTATTTTCCTGTACGGGGGCACTCGTTCTTGCCCTGCGATAGAGACTTTGGAACTTTGAAAAAACTTGTACGAAGAAGCGACCGAGTGTATTTACCAGAAGAATATCAAGAGATGATAGTATCGTGCAGGAAGAACAACCCGTTTACTTTTAAAGAGATTACCTACAAAGATATCATTGACTTTAAAAATTGGTGGCCTTCTAGCTACAAAAAAACTGCGTCTTCGATCCCTAAACCTGGTGATACCACGCAGGCATTCACTGTTTCAAAGTATAGGCGGTTTGTTTATGATAGTTCTTCTCCAGGATATGTTACTACCTATGAATATATAGATGGTTTTATTTCTTATACTTTTAAGCTCCTCAAACAGAACAAACCAAGTCCTCCTTTGCCAGAGATACGCGCATATCAAGAGCCGGTTTCCATCAACCATAAGAAGATCACCGATATAAAAAAAGTCATGAAGTACATTATCGGTGAAACATTAGAATTTTACTACCATGTAACTTCCTGGAAGCAAAGCTACGCAAACGGAGATCCCGTTGACTAATATTTTTGTATGGATTCGCCCAATAAAACATTTTTCATATGTCTAGCAGCCTCTATAAGAGTTCCTTTCCAACTCTATTATACGCTAAATCTGCAAAAATGTACAAAAAAAAGACTGAGTTCAAGAACAGTACAAGTCCATGAACTTCACCCTTCTACAACTTCGAGGGGTGTGATTTTTGTCTATTTTTTATTTAAAATTAGTATTCATATAAAGAATCACTACCATTTTTGTATGATAGCCAAAACGGTAACTCTACACATTCGGGAGCTATGAAGTTTTTTCGCGTTTTCTCAGAACTATCTTTTTGGACTTGTACTGAGCTTGGACTCACCGATTCAAATGCTATTGAAGGAGCATCTTGTTAACATATATTCGACATATCTGATACACCCTCTAGTAAGGGTATATCTCAGTTTTTTGACATTGATACATTTATAGGCCTCCTACCTCAGATTTCACTTATCTTTAAAACCAAATATCTCCTACAGTCGAGTGTCGATACCGACGACGTGGTCCCCAGATGGACAAGCGTCGTCGTCGGAGGTCGTACGTGACAGTCGGCAATCGCTTCCGTACTGCTGTGGGCCGTGTGCACTGTCCATAGTGAAGGTAATATCATCATTCGCGCAGGAGGTAGTCGCATCGATCATGTGCGCCTTCAGCAATTGGTCTTAGGGGAAGCAGGAAGGCCATTTAATTTTTTATTATACATGTTCGTAGCTAGCTTTTTTTCAGAAGGTCTAATGCCCGTATCGTCAGTCGTCCCTACAATTGTAGGGCGCCTTTATGGCCTCCTTGATTGTCATAGTTTTCTACTTCTCCGTGTCAGCCCTCTATTTTGAGGTTATGTCACAAACATCTATTTGCATCAAATTGTGCTTGCTTTTGAGTTATATAATGTTTTATCAGCCTGATATTTCCTACAATTTAAAAAGAAAACATATCTTCACAATAGGAGAGCGCTGACGCTGACACGGGACAAGTGTAATCTAGAAATTTTTGAAGGAGAGAAAGGAGTATGACAATCAAGGAGACCATAAAGGCGCCCTACAATTGTAGGGACGACTGACGATACGGGCCTAAGTTGTGCAAAGTATAATCCTTTTCGAACTTACTTGCCGCCAATCTTTTTAAATTAACCGTCTCGTACTTTATTGCACCTTGAGATAGACCTTTGCATAAGAGGAAGATTGCTATAATACACTATAACGTTTTGGAGATTCGTTGTTCAGTTATAAGCGACTTGATATCCAGAAGCGCTCGACGTTTACCATACAGCTTTCCAGTCCACCATTTTGAAAGGTAGTGATTTTATATTTAAGGCTTTAGAGGACCATCTGCCAAAAAGTAAGTAGGAGGGTAAACCTGTCTGAAGACCACTCAGTAGAAGATGCATTGTTTTAGCCTCTACCTATTTCGTGCAGAAAGCTGCGGGGAACAGGGGAAACAAGCCGGTCATTGGCAACATCAGGCGCTTGAACTTGGGAGGATTTGTACCGTTTCTGCCGAAAAAACGAGATAGATAATGCGACTAACGGTATTATTAAAAAAAAACGTGACCCACAGAAACACAGGCGATAGAAAGTAGATTTTATTTATGTATCTCTTTTTATTTATGCAAAGAACATTAGGCGTAAACAATTTTTCCACCGTTTGCTTATAGACCAGGTGTTGGGTAGAATTAAGTGCCTGAAATGTGAGGACCGCACTTTATGAGCAGGTATCAACTAAGAAGAGTTCAAAGAATAATAATCAGAACCACATTTTAATCGTTTTTTTAATCTTTTTCCCTGTTAAATCATTACGAAAAGGTTTGTTCACTCCGACAATTTTTTTGCGATTTCATGGATTATTGTGAACATGAAAGGTTCTTAGTAACATTTATCTGAAGTTAGTGGCTTCGGAGCTATAAAATGATTATTTCTTAGATTGCCAGGTATTTAAGCTGAAGCTAAAACCTTTCTCTACAAGATGTGTATTTTGAGATTAATTTATCTTAAAGCGATTTTTAAGTTTTTTTGTTAGGCCAAATTTACTACCGATATACCTCGATATAGGCAATGTTTCGCCTTAAATTTAGTGACGGTGATGTGTACGTCAGGCGCATTACGTTTACACTAATTTGTGAAGAGCAAATGTAACATTACTTTCACGGCAAATGACAGCCTGAACCTTTTTTACTAGAGACATTGGTCCAATACTGCAAATGGTTATCCAGTTGTAAAAAATCGAACTTAGTTTGTATTTCACTGTGTAAATGTGAAAACAATGATTGTCAGCATAAAAAATAATAAACATTCCATTCCTTTCAATGTATTCCTATTGATATACCTTTTTAATTTTTGAGTGATAATATACTAAGTGAATCCGAACACCCAGTTTAAATGGTTTTATTTTAATAAAAGTTGGTGAATGTATTTATCTTACTGTAAATAACTGAAAAAATTTTCAGCCTTATCAGTTGGACATTCCGGTTTTTATACTGCTTTTTTTTTAATTCACTAACGCTCTAAAAATGAATATTTCAGCCGCAGTGAAGAATCAACGTTGGCGGATTTTGGTTCTTGACATCCTTTACGATCGGTTACGATGCCTAGAGTACGGAGACCTGTACGATTTCGTCAACTTAGTGAGTTTGATAGGGGCCGTATAGTGGGACTTCGGGAAGCTGGACTTTCTTTTCGGGCAATTGCAGTTAGAGTGCAAAGAAGTGTAGACACTGTGGTTAGGTGTTGTCAGGCATGGCTTCGAGAAGGCCGTACGCAAAGAGCAAGGGGCACTGGACGCCGCCGTAGAACAACAGACCGTGAAGATCGCCGCCTAAGATTATTGGCCTCAAGGGACCGTTTCTCCACTACCAGGTCCATTGCAAATGAATGGTTTCCAGAACACGGAAGACCTATTGGCATGCGAAGTGTTTACCGACGAATGGGAAGTTTTGGCTTGTTTTCATACCGGCCACACTGGGTCCTCCCTTTAACTCGAGAACACCGACGTAATCGCCTTGAGTGGTGCAGACAACGGTCACTCTGGGATCAGGAATGGAACAGTATTGTCTTTAGTGACGAGTCTCGATTTTGTTTAGGCATGCACGATGGTCGTGCCAGGGTTAGAAGGCGACGTGGTGAAAGGAGGAATCCACAGTTTTTTGTTGAAAGACATGTTCATCACACTGTTGGAGTTATGGTTTGGGATGCTATAGCTTATGGTTCCAGGTCACCTTTAATCTTCATCAGAGGTAACATGAACGCGCAGCGTTATATCCACGAAGTTCTAGAACCCCATCTTTTAGCCTATCTTGACACCCTGGCAGATCCAACTTTCCAATAAGATAATGTCCGACCACATGTTGCAAGAGTCACAATAGACTTCTTTCAACATAATGATGTCACATTGTTACCATGGCCACCAAGATCTCCCGACTTATCCCCAATTGAGCACGTGTGGGATATGATGGGTAGGAGATTGCTCAATTTGCAACGTCCTTATCAGACTCTAGAAGCACTTCGAGAGGAGTTGGTGGTTGCCTGGAATGAGATACCACAGGAGGACATTGACCACCTGATCAGAAGCATGCCTAGGCGCGTTGGAGAATGCGTAGCACATCAGGGTGCATCCACAGATTATTAAAGGTCAAAGGGCTTTAAAGCAGTGCAATCATTTTGAAATTTTTATCATTTACATATTATGCTTCATTAGGTACTTATACAAAATTTTATTAAAATAAAACCATTTAAACTGGGTGTTCGGATTTATATGTCACTTAGTATATGTTGGAAAGAAGCCAAAAGTCAAAATTAGAAACGGAGAAGGTAGCAACAAAAAAAAAACTTAAAGTATCGTGTTACTCTGAACCAAAATGGCTACATATTACTTTTTGATAACAATGGTTGATTTGCTGCTTCTTTTAGCTACCTGTTATGCTTATAATTATGAAAATATAAAAAATTAAAATAACCATTCAAATCGCTCCATTGCATATACTCCACATATTTCCTTTATACTTAAGAAGAGTTAAAAGAGAATTGACAAAAATCAAGATCTGCATTACTGTTCCTTGACCTTTTCTCATTTGATATCTGTTCATCAAGTGCAGTCCTCGTATAGCCTGCGAAGATCAAGAGATCGCCAATTTCGGCCTAACAAACTAGATTAAAAATCGCTTAAAAATAATTTTTTTTTGCAGAAGCCTAAATACTGGGGCATCGCGGCTGATGTAAGGAGCTTGAAGACACCTTGTTAATCCAATTTTTAAACTGCCTAAGGTTAGTAGAGCTAGGCTAAGCGTCCTGATGCAGATTGTTCCACAACACGCCACAAAGGAGAGGTCGTAACGGCCAGTTCTGGATGTACGAAGTTCGACACTGTTAGGATGGGAGACCGAAGTCAGACGGGTCTGGCTGGCAGGTACATCGCACGGCAGCATCATGAAGGAGAGACCTGAGGAGTAAAGCCCTTTGGCGAAATGCTAGAAGAGAGCTAGATCGATGGTCCGCCTTTGTGAAACGGTCATGAGGGTACCAGCTAGAGCAGAGTCATCGATGAGTCGGACATCCCTCCCCTAATCAGCATGGATAATGTAATCGGGGCAACAGCACCCCAAACATGTTAGCAGTATTCGAGGCAAGGTATTATCTAGGCCTTATACAAAGTGATGAGTTGAGCTTTAAACATAATAGACTAGCTTTTCCCGCTATTGACGAGATGTGTGTGATACCTCAAGAATAATGATTCTAAACAGAGTTTTAAATCATTGAAGATGAGCATTCTTAAGGTTTTTCATACTTCTAGTGCCTCGGAAATGACTAACTTCAGAGAAAAGTTAGAGAAGTCCGGAGTGATCCGGGAAATCACAAAAAAAATTGTCTCGAAGAAAAAATTTTTTTGAAATGAACCGACCAAATGGTGGCAAGGCAAGGGCCATAATATTACTCTTTGGCCTATTCCCAGTTGTTGATAAAGTGCGGTCCTCACATTTTGCACACTCAATTCCTCCC